AACTGGGAACCGGACTCCGAAATGGGCAAAATGGCCTGCGGCCACCAAATGTAGCCTATGGACATTGAGAGATGGTCTACGGGACCTCTCCCTTCCCTTAGGAAAAGAAACAGAGAAAATCGAGTCTGGTTCGCAAACCGAGACAAGGCACAGAAGAGGGTTCGGAAGTCCGGAGGTAGGGCTCACGACTGTGACTCTGAAACTTCTGAACAAGCACATTATGCAATATCACCAAGTGCTTAATCAGTGACGTCTGAGTCTTAAGGTCGGTCAAAAATGGGGTGTCTACAGAGTCCCACCGCGTGGAATGTCGTCCGCCATGTCGAGAATGATGAGAAAATAGCCGGAGGAAGGAAAACCGGACTAGAATACGAAGAGTCAACCGAAAGGTCAACTCCCGAGAAGGCCGAAAATGACCGGAGGGGCCGGGATGTGAAAGGGCACGAAAATCAAGAGAAAAGCAAGGGGAACAAACTCCAAAAAGGCGGGAACGCCAAACGAAGCACCGAAACGAATATGTGGTCGGTTGAAAATGTCCGAAATGCGAAGGAAATCGCGAATCCGACGACGAAACGGGCGTAGAACGCGAAGAAACGGGCGGAAGGGGAGAGAAAAACACTCTAGAGAGAGAGGGTTTGGGTTTTCGGCGGTGGAGGAAATGAAAAATAGGGTTTGGAAGCCCTATTTTAAAGAGAGAAAAACACTCTAGAGAGAGAGTGAGAGTTTTCGGCGGAAGGAAAGTGAGAAAATAGGGTTTGAAACCCTATTTTAAAACACCCGAAGTGAAATCTCGAAACTGCCCCGACTCAGCAACTTTTTGCTGGTCGGCAATGTTTTGTGCCGGCCGGCATAATATTGTGCCGATGGATTTATTTCACAGCCGGTGGACAGCCGGTGGCCTCCCCTCCCGGCCGGTGGTGTTCCCACAACCTTGTTTAGGCCATATGAGAAGTTTTTGGTCTTCATAGCTCAAGAAAGTGCAAGAAAGTGCATCTCCGATGCTCAACCGGCCTCCGTTGTGACCACGGGTCGTGTCTTCTGTGCGTGGCACTCGAATTCGTGCAAGGTGTATCCTTTTTGTATCCTTTTAATTTCAAAAGTTGCCCCATGTGCGTTGCACGCGTTCATCGCACTACTTCGGTGCATTACATTGCGCTGTCATACGCCTCACAGTTGCATTGTTATGCACATACTACATTACACGCACCTCTTGCATTGTCATGCACATCTCTCATGCATTGTCATTGCATTTTTATTCCATGTATTGTCATGCATTCCGAAACACGTGTGTTGTTACACATTTAAGTCCATTTACATTTCGTGTGGCACGCGTGTCACACTTAGCATCGTTTTACATTTCGTGTGGCATACGTGTCACACTGAGCATCATTTTGCATCTTGTGAGGCATGCGTGTCTCATTTATATCATTTGGCATCCTATTGGGGCATGCCTGTTTCATTTTGTGTCATTTTCATCGGCATGTGCGCCTCGTTTGCATAGAACATGCATTCACTCGCACTATCTTGTGCATTTACACTTTGTATCTCAATCGCACTGTTTTGTGCATTGCATTTCAACCACGCTGTTTAGCGCATCGCACTGTTTTGTACATTTCAAAATCAATCACGTTGTTTAGCACATCGCACTGTTTTGTGCATTTCAAAATCACTCGCGCTGTTTTGCGTATCGCATTGTTTTGTGCATTTCAAAATCACTCGCGCTGTTTAGCGCATCGCACTGTTTTGTGCATTGCATTTCAATCGCGCTGTTTAGTGCATCGCACTGTTTTGTGCACTTCAAATCAATCGCGCTGTTTAGCGCATCGCACTATTTTGTGCATTGCATTTCAATCACGCTGTTTAGCGCATCGCACTATTTTGTGCATCGCAAATCAATCGCGTTGTTTAGCGCATCGCACTATCTTGTGCATTTCAAAATCACTCGCGCTATTTTGCGCACCGCATCGCACTGTTTTGTGCACCTTACTTGCATCTTGCGTGCATCCTCTCGCACTATCTTGCGCACCTCACTCGTACTTGTTAGTACATTGCATTATTTTGAATACAAACCGGCTTCGCGTAGCGTATAAGTCCAATTTTCAAAATTTTGCATTCTGTGTGGCATACGTGTCACACTTGCATCATTTTGCATCTTATGAGGCACGCGTGTCTCATTCATTTTCATTTTGCATTCCGTGTAGCATACGTATCACACTTGTATCATTTTGCATCTTATGAGGCACGCGTGTCTCATTCGTTTCATTTTGCATTCCGTGTGGCATACGTGTCACACTTGTATCATTTTGCATCTCATGAGGCACGCGTGTCTCATTCGTTTCATTTTGCATTCTGTGTGGCATACGTGTCGCACTTGTATTATTTTGCATCTTATGAGGCACGCGTGTCTCATTTGTTTCATTTTGCATTCCGTGTGGCATACGTGTCACACTTGTATCATTTTGCATTTTATGAGGCACGCGTGTCTCATTTGTATCATCTTGCATCATGCTTCATTTGCATTGTCATGCATTTTGGCCGTGGTCTGGTGAGACCTTAAACACGCACGGTCTAGGAAACCTTAAATCCTTGGGAGGTGCGAAACCTCCGGTGCATTGATGTGCACAGTTTTTCGTGGCGTATAAGTCCAATTGTATCAGTTTACATTCCATTGGCATGCGTGCCTCATTCTTGCATTGTCATGCATACTCAAAGCCAGCAGCAT